CCTGCTGAAGCGCGGCCATGTGGAGGACGAGGTCGAACAGCCCCGTCCCGACCCGCGCCGGGTTCCCCACTACAAGGTTCGCGGAGAGCCCGCGGACGGGGTCCACCTCGCCGAAGGCCGCCGCCCCCATCAGCACCTTCACCGTCTCCTCGAAGGAGCACCGCATGAGGGGGCCGGAGAGCTCGCTGCGGTTGATCCCTGTGCGGGAGACCGCCATGAGGTAGCCCCGCTGGCAGATTGTATCCACAAGCGTCGCGTAGTGGCGATAGTTGATGTTCAACCCGTAGGCCACGTAGGCCGCGCGGAGCTCGGAGAGCAGTTTCCGCCGCCCGGCCTCGATCCCGAGCACCCGCGCGACCTCCGGCACCTTATTGCTGCTAGTTTTCGCAAAATTAATGATGTTCTCGTCTCGCTTGTCCAGAACACCAACGAAGACGCGCTGGAGGGCGGTCCCCTCAGTGTCGATCATCCACAGCTTACTCGTGGTCAGCGCACCGGTCGTCGGGTCCTCCTTGCTCACTGTGGTTTCCTTCAATAGCGTCTTTTTAATACCTGGGATGCCTAATAGATGCACCCTGGACAGCAAACGAGGGATCTCCTGCAAGAGCATCGGAACGGAATCGACCCCGCTCTCGAGCTTCTTCATCCGAAGCCGGACGATGCGCTTGCCGAGGTTTTCCATATTTGCCTGAATAAAAAACCCATCATGCGCGGCGCGAATCGCGCTCTTCACGTGTTTCATATTAAGCTGCTTATCGTTAAACACGTTGTCGTCAAGAATCAGGCGAGCAATAAACGGCGAAGGCGGCTCGGTTTGTGGCGGTTTATTGGGGTCATTAGCGTTTTCCTCATTATCATCGTCGCTGTTCATAACGGCCTGCTCCCATCGAATAATATCCTGATCTTCTTCCACTACGGTATTGTTAATATCCGGATCGTAGATAATTTGCACCGTATTTGTGATGCTTTCCAAGCTGCAGTACTCGATAAGATGCTGGGCTTTCTGCGCGGCATCGCGTTTTTGCCATTTCGGGATGAGTGCAATCACCATGCTCGCGTTCCGTTGATTTTTGCTCACGTTCAGAAGCTCTAGCAGGCGGGGAACGCCGAGGGTGACATTTTTGGAGGAAATTCCGGCGTTATGAAACGTATTGAGCGTCATCTGCGTGGCTGGCTCGCCGCAGGATTGCGCGGCAATCGCGCCGATATTTTCACCCGGAGAGATAATCGATTGTTGGTATTTGGTTCGGATTTCTTTCAAGAGGTATTCAAAGGCTTTGCTGCTTAAATTATACTCCTGCAGAACGCGCTTCGAGGCGAGGGTTTGGCGGAGGTGGATACTAAACAACGTGAGCGCGTGCTCCACCCGCTGCCGGCTAATCGCATTTGTGAACATCCCAGCAAATCCTTTGTTGTGGCTCGAAAAGAGCTGGGCGAGATCCTCCTGGAGCTGACGAACGTTATGAATAATTGAGATCGGGCTCAGATCGGAAACTTGGCTCCGTCGGCCCATCGTCTTCTGCGCGTTTTGAATCAAACGGCCGATATTCACGGGTAGATCCATCTTCAGTTTTGCGCGTTCCTCCATATCAATCACCATGCGCGACACCCGGCGATCCTCCATGAGCTGTTTGTACTCCCCTTCTAGGATACGCACGTTTAGCGGGTCTTTCATGAGGGTATCTTTTACAAAAGGATCCATGTACTCGCCGCCGATTTTATCGGAGATGCTGCCATCCTCGTTGTACTCGTATCGATATTTTCTCCCCATCTCCTGATTGCTAAGCTGGGGGAGCGGGAACTCCTGATTACCCTCAATCCGCGCGCCGTCGAGGCCGTCTTCGCCGTACATGAGCTGGATCAGCTCCCCGTTGGCGTTCCGCACCGTCCCGTCGTAGGCGGCGTGGACGTCCTCGAGGGTTTTCATCAGCTTTCGCTGTAAATATCCCGTATCGGAGGTCTTCACCGCGGTATCAATCAGCCCCTCGCGGCCGGCCATCGTGTGGAAATAAAACTCATGCGGTTTGAGGCCCTCCACATAGCCCCGCATCGCCATCCCGCGCGAGCTCTCGCCGTAGTCGTCCAACATGAAATGCGGGAGTGTCCGGCGGCGAAACCCGAACGGGATTCGCGCCCCCGCGACGTTTTGCTGGCCGACAAAGACCGCAATTTGGCAGATATTCAAATCCGTCCCCTTGCTCCCCGCCTCGATCATCACCTTAAAGCTGTTTGTCCGGCGAACATTGCTCAGCGCCTTTTTCGCGGCCTCCTCGCGGCATTTGTTGAGCTCGCGGTTGACGTCGGCCTCGAAGGACTGCAATAAGGTCATGCCGGCCTTCCGCGAGAGCGTCCGGCTATTCGCCGCGGCGCCGATTTTCTCCACCTCGCCTCGGGTCTTCTCCAGGACGTCGTTCATCTGGTGGAGGGTCTCGGGGTCGGCGACGGTGTCCTGGACCCCGACGGAAAAGGCGAAGAAGTACAAAAAAAACGTCGCGACGCGTTGGACGCCGTTGATGAACTTCGCGACCTCGTCGGAGCCGCGCTCGTTGAAGATAATGTGGATCAACGACCCCGGGGCGGCCCCGACGACACCTTTGGTGATCGCCCCCGCGAGAAGCTCCCCGCGTTGGATCATGATTTGCTTATCGTTGTGCGAAAAAGGCGGGCGGTCGTAGGTCGAGGCCGGGTGATTCACCTCGGGAAGAATAAAGGAGAAGACCTGCTTTCCCGTCCACAACGGGCGCGGCTTGACGATCGCGGGCACCGGCAACTCCCAAAGATCCAACCAAAGCGCCACGCTCTGGACGAAGTATTTGTCGAGAAAGGTATCTTTATCGGTTAGGCGATAGCTGCCGAGCAAACTATCCTGCACAATGCCCATACACGGCGCGGATTTATTCGGCGAGACGAAGTTCTTCGGCGCCATCATGATCTCAATCAGTTCCGCCTTCGTCAGGAGGCTCTGGGGGACATGCAGGTTCATCTCATCGCCATCGAAGTCCGCGTTGTACGGCGTCGTGCAGGAGAGATTCAGGCGAAAGGTGTTGTAATTCAGCACCCGAACGCGATGCCCCATCATACTCATCCGATGGAGCGTCGGCTGACGGTTAAACAACACCACATCGCCGTTAATCACATGTCTTTCCACGATATCCCCCACCGAAAGATTAATCTTCGAGCGGTCCTTCATCAGCGCGAGTTTGGTCATCGTTCCGTTGGGGTGGATGATGTAGTTCGCGGAGGGATACCCACGGCGACGAACGAACTCCGTCAGGCGCTTTTTGTTAATCGCGTTTACCCGTTCCGGAAAGGTCAGCGTGGCGGCGATCGAAAAGGGCACGCCCACCTCATCCACGTCAATATTCGGATCCCCCGTGATGACGGTTCGCGCGGAGAAATCCACCCGCTTGCCCATCAAATTGCCCCGCAGCCTCCCGTACTTTCCTTTAAGACGCTCGGTTAAGGATTTCAGCTGTTTCGTATCGTTTACCTTTACGGTTTTGTAGTACGTGGTGGAGTTGTTAAAGAGGGTGGCGACGCTTTCCTGGAGAAGCGCGCGCGAGCGATCGGCGGCGTCTTTCGCGTCCGCCTCTTTATCCTTTCGGAGCTGAATATTTCGCTTGACGATGGCCATGATTTGATGCGTCAGCTCGTCGTCGGATTTAGTCGATCCGAAGTTGATCGCCGGGCGCACCTGCGGGGGGGGAATCGGCAGCACGGTCAAGATCAAATCCCGCGGATGGCATCGGACCGGGTCGAACCCGATAATCCGCGCGTCGAAATCGGAGATGCGATCGAGGATCTGCCAGGCGGTCTCCGCATTCCACACCATGTCCTGCTCCTGCAGCGTCGCCTTGATCTGCAGGCCTGGATAAAGCCCTTGAAAGCGACCGATCGAGGGCTGCTCGGCGCCGCAGCCGCCGTCCTCCCCGCTATTGGGGTCCACGCGGAGTTTACAGCGCCGGCCCGCCATCCGGGCCACGAGCCGCACGCGATTCACCCCCCCCACATTCCCCAAGACCTTCTTCAACACCGGATCCCCGACGTCGACGAGAATACTCCCGCAGTACACGCAAACGCACTTCAGGACATTCAGCACGAGGTCGAAGACGCCGATGTTAAAAATGGGCTCCGTGAGCTCGATATGGCCGAAATGCCCGGGGCAGTCCGGGTGCTGCATCCCGCAGCTTTCACACTTGTGATCGAAGTCGGTCGTCCCCATCCGGAGGTCGTTAATTCCCCCGCGGACGGGCTCCCCGTGTTCGTAGGACTTCGCGTGTTCGATTAAACACACAGAGTAGTCCTTGATTTGGCCCTCTTTGAAAATTTCGAACTGAACCTCGTGGATCTGCTGGAGAGGCATTTGGGAGGGCGGAATGGGGGCACCACCAGACATCGTTGAGGAAATAAACGGTTCTTTTTTTCTCTTTCTCCTTCTTCTTCTAATTAGTTTTCCAAGTTTATCAGCTGAGTAAAAAAGTGGCGGGTGCGATGTCAGCGTTAATACACACTCGACCACCGAACAACACAAGCAATACTTGGGAGAAAAAAGACAAAATAGAGAAATTTTAAAGTAATAATGTACTGCCTTTCAAAGGACAAAAGGAAAATAAGTAATAATATTAAAACCCCTGTAATGCAAAAAAAAAATGTACACTGGGGAAACCAAGGCGCTGTGTGTCAAAGATATGAACTCAATTTGTTTCCCGAGGAATCTGAAAAATTTGATCAACCCAAAACATGTTTATATTCTTTTGGACATGTTGGATAGGTAACCAAATCACAATTATTTCTAAGATTATCATAATTTTCTCTCTTTTATTTTTTGAATTGGGGTTAATTACAATACTTTAAGCGTATCTCTCTAGCGTCAGAGAGGAAAGTGTAGATATAATATAAGAAAGTGATCCAACTTGTCACTGTGTGGATTATAGAATGAAAAAATGCATCAAAAACATTGGTAACCTAAAAAGAAGTCGTTTATATTAAGAAAAAAATATACATAAATATATATAGATCTAACAGATTCATATAAGAATGAAATCACAGATTCAATTCGAAGGATCCAAAGGAGGTACGCTATCGGTTAAAAACCCCAATTAAAAAAAAAAGTAATACCTAAGTGGTTCACGTTGATGTGCTTTCATACTTACCATCTGCTAAATGAGAAAGAACAAAAAAGAGAAAAGACACTATGGAGCATCACTCCCAGTGCATCTTGGAGTTAGCTTTAATTTCTCCTTTCTAGATTCCATAGGACCAAACTAGAGTTTTAAGCCTTTATTCCCTTCGGTCTTTTAGTCTAACTTCACTAGGGAATCTCTGAGAGGCTGTACCTTGATGATGCTTTCTTTCACACACACACACACACACACACACGAAATCATGTGGCTTCCTTATAAAAAAAGAAAAAAGAAAAAGAAACAATGCTTAATCAATAAATCGACCTCACGTCATAAGTCGGTACAAGCTGCGTAATGCTACAGTTTAGCTTCTTGTCAACGCACAAGAATGCCCCGTGGTTGTTAAACTCGCCGCAATAATTAGGGGCGGAAAACACGGTGATCAGGCGTCGTCCCGCGAAGAACTCGTATCCTTCGTCGACCACCTGATGAGCTCTACAGATGAGGTCGAGGTCAAAGCGCTGCAGCGTCTCCTCGACGACGTCGTTGCCGAAGACCCAGGAGACCCCTCGGTCGTTCTCGCTCCAGCCCGACCTCTCTTCCTCGCCGTCCGGGTCAGACCAGAGGAGATCGCAGAGCAGCCCGCTATCCGAGACGTCCGTTGGGCGGAGGATCCGTCGGATCTGCTCCAGGCTCCCCAGCTCCGGGCTGAGCCCGCCGTGCATGCAAAGGATGCGCTCCCCCACCACCGCGGCCACAGGCATGCAGTTAAAAGTGTCCGTAAAGACCTTCCACAGCCGCACGTTAAAGCGCCGCTTGCACTCGTCGAAGAAGCCGTAGATGCGGTTGATGCTCGCCGTCTCGTGGTTCCCCCGCAGCAGGAAGATGGTCTCGGGGAAGAGCAGTTTGTAGGCCAGCAGCAGGCAAATCGTCTCGAGCGAGCGCTCCCCCCGGTCGACGTAGTCGCCGAGGAAGAGGTAATTCCCCCCCGGCGGGTACCCCCCGAGCTCGAAGAGGCGGAGCAGGTCCCAGAACTGGGCGTGGATGTCCCCGCAGAGGTTCACCGGGGGGTGGATCTCGATCAGCATCGGCTGTGACATGAAGAGCTTGCGGGACTCCAGCACGAGATGGGAGATCTCGCGCTCGCTGAGGTCCGATGTGACAGGGGCGGAGGGGGG